TCATCATCATCATCATCATCATCATCATCATCATTATCATCATCATCATTATCATCATCATCATCATCATCATCATCATCATCATCATCATCATCATCATCATCATCATCATCATTATCATCATTTATCATCTTCTCTTTTGGCAAATACTACATCATGTAAATACTAAAGTTTATATAAATATGAAAGGATATTGTATACCAGTATCTAAATTACTTTGAGTAGCTGTGGCGCAGTGGTTAAAGTTCTGGCTTTGAACCCAGAGGTCCGAGGTTTAATATTGGCTCTAGCCCGATTAGCAACATTGGTAAGGAAGGTGGCGTGAACTTCTAGTTAAATAATCTCCCGCGGTGATAAAACCATAAAGACTTTTGAGAGCACCTAAATATCCTAAATAACCTAAATAAATAGCAAACATAAATGTTTACATTTCAGAAACTTTTATTCCTTCTGGAATAAAAGTTTAGAAGCTTTTATTCCTACTCTTCAATTTTAAGTCAAACCTAATTCTACTATATATTTTTTACCATATTGAATATTGCTCCATATTGAAAAATATGGAATAGAAATATACAGTTTATTAATCATTTATTTCATCTTTTTTAAAAAAACATTTCTTTTAAGAGCAAATGTCTTTTTATTATTTCAAGAAGCCAATGCTAAAAGGTCCTGTCTGATGTTATTTTCATTTTAATTATTCTTTTATCTTATATCAGATGTTAGGTTCTAGAGACTTTTGGCTAGTCTTCAACAATGTCATTAACTAAAGTAAGCCTAAAATTTAATCTTTTTAATTATATAACATTTAATGGTTCAACCCTCGGAATTAGAGTTGGCATTTGGAAATGCTGACCTAACTGACGACCTGAAAGTGTTTGAGGTCGGCAAAAAATTGCTGACCTTGTTTCTATGTTTTATGGTCAGACCTTTGTGTCAAATAATTTTTTGCCGACCTGATGTCGACCTCAAAAACATTGATGTCGGCAAATTATTGCTAACTTCTTTTTTTCTAATTCCGAGGTTTGATGGTTCCAATTTTTTAAAACTCTAGAAAACGCTTTGACCTCTCCAACTATCCTATGATAAATCTTCACTCTGTTATTAGTTTCTTTATATAATAGTCTGGTCAAAATAGTCAAAATAATAGTGGTAGGTTTGCAATAATTTGCATAGAGCTGAAAATTGGTACAGACGTTTGGGACATTGTTAAAAATAAATTATAAAAAATCCCCATCAATTCCACACCTGCAAAAAAAGTTATTCAAGGTAAAAGGAAAAAAACTTTTGTCGCTTTGATAGTGCATTTTATTATCTGCAGAAAAAAAAAGTTTCTTATGATCTTGAATTAAAACAACAACATAATGCTAAGTTTTAGGGGGTTTTATTTTTTGTTTAGCCGTTCTAAAATAAATTACATTTAATTAAAATTAGGTTCTTATAATTTTAATTTGTTAAAACAAAATTTAAGAGTATTAATTTGTTATAATTTTTGTTTATTATTTTTTTTAAATATAATTTTTCTTTAAAACGGTTTTTTTATGAACCTTGTTATGAAAAATAATTAACTAGTATTATTTTGCAAGATTTTTTAAACTTAAGTATGTACGCTCAAAGGAGAAGAGAAGTTTTGCAAATGGTGTATATAAGATGAGAGGGCAGTGGGTCAATTATAAAAGAAAGGAAATACTAAATTTAAAAAAATGACATGAAGTGTTAGATAAATAGGTTAAAAGCGTAGTTATTTTTAGGGAGGTGGAGGGTACTCAAAAAAGCGTATTGCAAAATGCAGGGAAAGGGGGGGGGAGGGGTAGACAAAAAAAAAGCGTACATACTTTATGGACGACCACTAAAATTAAGAAAAAACCGCTTTTGATAATAAATGAACAAAAGTAAAAAATATCAGTCCTTGCAACTATGACTCAAGTTTAATTTTTAAATGAATGAACTTTTGATCTTTAGCTTGCTGTTTTAGTTTACATGAGGAAAACGAAAAAACGAAGTATAAACTTTTTTAAACAGTTTTTTTCCTTTCAATATTCTTTTTAAAGTAATAAATAACTTAATAAAAGTTTTATATAGGTCTGTTTAATATAACCCATAGTAAATGTAATTTATTTATTCAAATGTAATTTTTTTAATTATTCTTAATAACTAAAAAAGTATATTTTTTAAAATATATGTTTTTAAAAATATAATATGGTTTTTAATCAAAATAATAGAATATTTTTAAAATTATGTTCACTGTAATTATCTCTTTAGTTATTTTTAATTTAAAAGGCGCCTTAAAATCACTTTAAAGATTATAAACTTTAGTAAAAGTTAAATAAATAGGATTACTAATATTTAAATCAAAATTTTAAATTTAAAATAATAGAAAATAAGTTTATTAAATGCTTATATTTATTATGTTTATTAAATGTTTATTGAATTTTTTTATTAAATGCTTATGATTTTAATTCAAACACAAGGTGTAAAACTATTTTGTTTATTTTACAAATATTACGCGATATAGTATATGTAAATATATTATGTAATGTAAATATTGAATAAAAATTGTTTAGAATATTTTTAATTATTATTTTAAATTAAATTTACTAAAATATGGTTAATAACTGTTTAAAATACTTAAAACAATTTTCAATAATTTTTTGCTAATAGCGTGGTATATGCAAAAAATGCGTTTATTAGAATCTTAAGTAAAATAGTTTTCTTTTAGCTAAAGTAACATCGTTACTAAAATCATCATCGTTTTAGCTAAAAGAAATATATATATATATATATATATATATATATATATATATATATATATATATATATATATATATATATATATATATATATATATATATATATATGTATATATATATATAAATATAGAGAATAATACTGACATATATTTAAAATATAATATACAGATTATGTTGAACAAGACTTCTTCAATTTTAAGATTTGTATCATCTCAGAAATAGTAGTTTTTAGAAAATTTTTTGACAATTTATAACAATTTTTGCAGGTAATTTCATGATCTAAAATTTTTGCATGACCAATTTTTTTTTAATGATACAATTTACTGTTTACCGGAAAAGTATAAAAAACCATTTTTTTGAACCTTTGACTTTTAACAACTATTTTTGCAGATGTAGGATTGGTGGGGGCTTTTAATATTTTATTTGTAATAATGTCCCTGAGGTCTGTAGCAAATTTCAGCTCTATGCAAATTTTTGTAAACTGAAATGTCTATTTTGACCAGACTATAAAGGTTTTGAGATTATTAAATTATTTCTAACTAACTGCAGTAATAAAGTTATTCTTGAAGGCCAACACTCTACTTTATTTCAAGTAACTTTAAGGATATCACAAAGTATCTTATGGTACAATATCAATCTTCATGAAAATTTAACATCTAAAGTGGCTCTATTTGATGAAGACTCAACTTTATACTCTTGTCTTCACAAAAAATCTTCACTTTTTGATTGCTTAAAACAAGCAGCTGATTTTTAATCTGATCTCTCCTCTGTAATAGTATAATGTGTTGTGGCTTATGGATTTAAATTCTGGACTTAAAATCTGCAATATTTGTTAGACAACAAAACTCAATTTTTTATTGCAAATAAATATCGCAATAATGTTGATATTCCTTTTTTGATGAATAACAACCATCTTACTCTCAGGCAAAGTCTAAAAGCACATTGTAAATGTAATACAGTCATGGTGTGCGTGTGGTAGACATCATAAGTGAGAGATACTGCATTTGCATCATAAGTGAGAGATACTGAGTTCGAACCCCACCATGTCCCTGGTAGTACCTCGCTCAACTTGTTTCTCTGCACAGCGGCCTTGGTTTTCAAGGTTCCTGTTTTGGAGTTATATAGTTAAAAGAGGGTTATAACCACAATTAAGTAGCCTCCTCGTCTGTAGTGGCATTTTCAGTCTTGTGAAGGGGAATTAACATAAAAAAAATTAATAATAAATTAGACCTGCTTTATCTGCCAAATTTGAGCCACTCTCCCATTGTTGTAAGGTTACATTTCTTTCTTTTTTCTACTAATACAATCATGGTCAATGGCTCAAACAATCTATCATCTCTATTACGATAAACCAAAACTCATTCTTGCTTTTTTTCTTATTCAACAAGTTGCATCCTTTTACTGGATGTCTCTTCAAGCTATAGAAACTTTTATTAATCCAGTTTTTTTCCTTGCACATCAAAAAAAACTTTATAACTATTAGCCATCTTCTTTCATCGTGTTTTTCTTTTTTATACAACCTACAACTTTTCAAGCCTTCAGTTAACTATTTCCTAGTATTTTTACATATTCTCTATTTTAAAGTAACTCACAACTTAATAATGGTTGCTTACAATCTTGTTGGAAGTAAATTAGAGTTTGAAAATATATAAATATAAAATTATAGTATATAAAGCATAAAATTATAATATATAAAGTATTATAAATTTTTTTTTAGCCTCGGCTATCAACTCCTGCTAAATCATATAGTTTAGCCGGGGTTGGGACCAGGGCTGGGTTTAAAAAAAGTCTCATTTTTAGCCAGGGCCAGGGCCCCGGTCACTTACTACCTATACATTGCATAAATGTTTTCATATATAAACAATATATACTTGTTTCATTAAAATTATACAAATATATTTTAGAAACTAATAGCAATTAATATTTTGACTTTCATCTTGAAAAAAAACCAAAAGCAAATAAAATATATAAAAATCATTCTTTTTAATGTTGACTAGGTGAATATTTAATGCCACCTATTGGGATTTTCTTTCATCAAAGCATTGAGCTTATATCTCATTTTTGACAACCGTACTGAATCCTTGTATGGATAAAATATTTTAGAAAGCAATAAATAAATTTCTCTATGAGTTTTTCATTATATTATTTTATATAATGATTTTGTATAAAGAATTATTTGTTTTATTTGTATTCAAAAAAATAAGGTTTGCTTTGGCAATAAATTTTTTTGATTGTTTAACAATTATACTTTAGTTGAAAATGAGCCTGAAGCGCAAAAAAAGAATATTTATGAACTTGCTAAGGCTGTAAATTCTACTTCAAGGTTTGAGTTTTTCTTGATATTCTATTTTGATGTAGTTTTTTTGTTTTTGTTTTTCTTATTTAAGTTTTATTTTGTGGCTCATTATTATTCAAATTTTATCATTATTTTAAAGTTTTTTTTTTTTTTTTGCACCATTTTAAGTTTTCATAAAATATGTCTGAGATTTCTGATGGTTTATTTTTTTATTTATAACTCTAATTTTAAAATTGGAATTTTAAAATATTTAAAGAAACAAATTTAATTATTATTCAAATATTATTTAAAACTTATTAAAGAGCTTAAACAACTTTATAAAAACCTATCATATAAAAAAGTTTAGCATTATGAAAAACGTTACTAATAGTCCATAAAAACGTGCGTTAATTTTAAAATCAACCCATAAAAATTTTTTATTGGTTGATTTTAAAATTACCACTCGTTTTTACAGACTATTAGTGAGAGTTTTTTATTCTTGATAGGTTTTTATTAAGAAACACCCGAAGATATTTTATATATTTAGTCTTTTTTACCATTAATTTTAATTTTTACATTATCATCATCAATCTTTTTTTTTGGAGGGTGAAAAATAATAAATTCAGTTTTATTGATAGAGTAATATGGTTATTTAACCAATGACACTAACCAATGATGGAGATCTAAATTAATTTATTTACAAACTTGCACAAGTTATTTATTTATGCATAGAAAAATGGTGTTGTTAGTGAAATGATGAAAAATTGAATTATTTATAGTGAGGTATATATTTATAGTGAGATTGTTAATATATATTAAAAATAGTAAAGGCCCTAGAACAGAACCCTGTGGAACACCATACCTAATAACTTAACTTGTAGATTGAAACCCATAAATCAAAACAAACTTAGTATGTTTTTTCAAATACAATGAAAACCAATCATACCATAGTGATTCAATCTTTGGAATAAAATCTAGTAGTCAAATGTATCAAAGGTTTTTTGAAGATCAATAAAGACGCCACAAGCAAAAGTACCACTATCAATCGCACCACAAATTATTTTAGTAATGCTAATAAGTGCATGGGAAGTAGAATATTTTAAACGAAATCCAAATTGGCGGCCACAGAGACACTTAGAACTATCAAGAAATTGGTAGATACAAGAATGCATTAGTTTTTACAGAATTTTGCTGATATTTGATAATAAGGTATTGGTCTTTAGTTATTGCAGTCGAGTTTTGAGTCCTTTTTATGGATTAATTTAACAGATGCAGTTTTTAAAATATTAGGAAATATACCCATAGCAAATGAGAGATTAAATAGTTTAAACAGTATTAAAGAAATATCCCAAGAAATTTTAGAATAAAGATTGGAATGATGTTGACCAGAAGCCTTGCCATCATTTAGAGAAAGAAAAAGTGATATTATTTCATTTTTGTCAGTAGGTTTAATAAAAATAGAGTCAAGATGTTTTTAAATACTTATGGAAGGATACTGGTATAAACAATTTATTTTCAATCATTCCTGAATTTTTCACTATCAAGTTTTTTGGAGTTTTGAAGAAAAATATTGCTTTTATAAAAATTCATTTTTATTTCAAAGATGAATAAATTAGAAACTTTGGCAAATGATCTGATATTCTAATAGTTAGATTGCTGGAAAAATATCTGTAGAAATTGAACTAAAAAATATATTATCAATTAAAGGACTTCAGTGATTAGCAATTCATGTCAGTAAGGATATAAAAGGAAGAATGTTGTTTAGAGCAATGGTGTTTAAATACTCTAAGATTAAATTATCTGAGTTTGCTTTTATGAGATCTACATAAAATCACCCATTATAAAGATAATTTTATTTTTTTCAACAGTTAGTTTTTTAAATAGAATAGCTAGATATGAAACATAAATTCATTAATATTTATGTTAGGATGGTGATAAACACAGCCTACTATGATAATAGACTTTGTAGGAAAAATGATTTCAACAAACACAGGCTATAAGAATTGGGGTTTATGCATAAGTAAATCAGATTTCAACTTTCCGATTATACTAAATTCATAAATTATTAAAGATAAAAGTGAAGTTATTTCATCAAAATGTTTAACCAATGAAGTGTTGTTTAAATGAAATAGAGAAAAACAGTTATTATTGATGTTTGAAGAGTTAAAATGTCTATGTATTTACAATTGGTTGGGTTCTCAACTATGCGCATATCATCATTGTCGTTGTTATTTTCAACTATGTGCATATCATGATTGTCGTTGTTATTTTCAACTATGTGCATATCATCATTGTCGTTGTTATTTAGCTGACAAGTAATTATTAAGTTACTTAAAAGGAAAATAATCAAAAAGAGTGTACTTTAGGAGTTGATGTTTGAAACTCCTAAATTACTTAGGGTAATTTAGGAGTTCATTGAGATGTAATTTATTGTCAATTGAAGTTTGAAGAGGTTATTGAACTTCTTATTGAACTTAGATAGTGGTTGCATGTGAAGTGAAAGATGATTAGCACAAGTATTTTTATCACAAATTTTGCATAGTTTAGACATAGCAGTAGAAATTAGTTTAGAAGTAAAGATATTGATAATAATAAGACTATTACAACAGAAACAATATAACAATAGCAGTAACTATAAGATAATATAACAATGATGAAGTTTATGATAAAAATATTAGCAATATAATAATAACAAATAATAACAACATCAACAGTAATAACAATCCTAAAACTAGCAATAGTAATAACAATATTGACATTAATAACAAATAGTAGTAGTGTATAAATAAAAATATAAGTACTTAAAAAATGAATATCACTCAATAATAAAGTATACAATAATAATGTATAATGTAATTATTCCATCATTGTATATTGATCTCATGATTATTACACAATGTTCATTGCTTGTCAGTGCTTAATATCTTCATGAGGTCAATACGCAGATTGTGTATGGATCTCATGGCGGTATCAATCGCTTAAAGTTTTTGTGAAAGGTTACGACACTGGTCAGCATCTAAGGATGTTGACATTTGTACTGATTGGCATTATGTCTCTGGTATTAAGAATATTATGGGTGTTGAGAAATATATTATTCTCTTATCATGGTGTAGTTAAGGCAATTTACAAGTTATTCAAAATCTTTTATTTGGAATTAGCATGGTTTTATCAGCGCATTATGTCCAAAAAAGAGCTTTAAATGTATATATTTTTTTGCTTCAGGTTTTTTTAATATTTAAAGAAACTTTCAAAACCTTTTTACTACCCGAATTAGTGAATCTAAAGAACACCATTTAGGAGTCTTTAGATCAATTTAGATTCCGCTTTAGATTCCGCTCATTGACGTTACTTGAATTTAGTTAAAATCTTTTGTAAAAGTTTCTTAATTTACTATTGATACTTCTAATCGGTTCTGATGTATATTAACTATATATAGTTGTCAAAACACAATATTTCTATCAATTTTTGCAAAAAATACTAGAATTCCGACCAAGAAAGAGCTTACAATTAAGAAAAATTGCCAATAAACAATCAGAACAAATCATATTGTTAAACTATGTTCATTTCATCTAAAAAATCTATTTATTTAAAATGTCATTAAAATTTAGATAAGTGAATATGATTTTAAGAAGATTTAAAAAAAAAATAAAAAATTTTTGGTCTGGGTTTTTTTGCTATAAACATTTATGTTTTATCATACTGCAAAATTTATAATTTTAGTTTTTTTCGTTTTTTCATAATTCACAGATCTGATCATTTAACAGAAATATGTCGTAGTCAACAAAATATCATACAGACGCTATAATATTTTAAAATTGCTTTAACTACACTGAGTATTGTTAAGTCAGCTCTCACATTAGGAAATAGAAAATAAATTAATAATGCGCAGATTAAATTAATAAATGAATTAATAATGGGAAAAAACACAGCCAAAGTTTTAATCAATAATGCAAATGTAAGGCTATCCTTTTGCAATAGAGGAATCAAGCATTTGATCAACAATAGTGGCATGTTGATTTCAGGAAATGAGTAATCAGTGAAACATCTAAAAAGCATCTTGAAGTTTGCTTTAAAGGGATCCCTAAGTGCTATAAAGATATGATCTCATATAAAAAAGCATTAAAAAAAAAATGTTTGATGTATATTATTTTTTCTAAAACGTAATAATGAACACACACTAACAAATTTAATTTTCAAAAAAACGCTTTTCTTCGATTAAAAAAAAATGCGTCTTGTCCAAAGTTTATTGACTCTATTACCTCAAAAAACTAACGTTTGTACGTCAAAATAAACAAAGTAGACAAAATGTCATTATTGCAAACTTATTAGTTGGTAATTAAATTTAAAAGTAAAGTTGTTTTTTTTTCAACTAACACAATTACTTACAAGAATAAGTTTTGTAGCATTTTGTGAAAATATATTTGTATATTAAAATTTTTTTTTTAATTTTAATTTATATATTTGTGTTATAAGGGCAATTCCACGGCCAAAAATGAATAGAAGTCAAATTTTAAACTCTTTTTAGTCAGTTTTTAACAAATGAATATTGATTTAGACACATGAAAGTTTATTTAAAATATTTCCTTAGTAGAAAAATAAATTTATTTCAGTAATTTTTATGGTTTCAAAAGTGACGGCTACTCTCATTTTTGCTTGATAAAAAAAATAATTATGGTAAAATGTTTTACTTAAATTAACATTTATGTTTATTTTGCTATATTTTTTTGGTTCAAATTGATAAGGTTGAATTGAAAAAAGACAGGGCTCGAATTAATGCAAAATAAATCTAATCGCAAAAAAAATTTTTTTTTTTTTGCTCTTTCTCTCCCCCCCTCTCTCTTATAGGTTGCGCCGATGTGCGTGAGGGGGGGGGGGAATTATCGTCAATAAATCAAAAAACATCATCAAAAACTTAATAAAAAATTAGATACCACGTTTTTTATAATTTATTGTTTCTTGAATAAAGGACTAATAAAAGTTTAAATATAATTAAGTTTTTCATTTAAATGGTTGATGTTTTTATTCAATTTTTCTATTTCAAGTTTTCCAATAAAAAATGAAACAAAAAAAATTTGGTTAAATAAATCGAATTATACTTCACGTTTAAAATAAGGCTTGAAAACGTTAAAGTAAAAAAAATTGCTGGTTTTTATTAGCATTTTTATACTGTTTGAAAAAAAAACTAATAAAAAAGAATTAACTAATAATATATTAATTAATAATTATTAGAATTAATAATAATAACAATTAATTCTTTTTTATTAGTTTTTTTTTTCAAACAGTATAAAAATGCAAATAAAAGTCAGTATTTTTTTTGCTCTAACGTTTTTAAGCCTTATTTTAAACATGAAGTTTTGATAAACAAAGATAAAAACCAACTTTTCAACTTTTCGCTTTAATGACCTAGTAAAAATTTTCCACGCAGAGATTTAAAGTAATTTAAATTTAAAAATGTTTAACGTTGAAAGAAAATCTCCACGCGAAAGAGCAAATCTATCTATTCAGAATAATAAATTTTGTGTGACGTTTTTTATGATAAAAACATTACTTTTAAGAATTGCTAAAAAAAATGCTAAGCTAGAAAAAAAAGTAATTAAACAACCAAAAAAAAAAAAAAAAAATCGCGAAAAGATTTTTGCCCTGTAAGACTTTTTTATAAGTTCTAAACTATTAAAAACTATTACTTAATAACTTTTTAACGACGTCTTTTAACCGAATATTATACTGTTTTTGCAAAACTAATTAAAAAAACTTGATTAAAACTTAACTATTTAATCACGACTTTTTTTTTTTACTTAAAAATCGAAGTAGGTATTCTAAAGTTGTTGTGACGTACTAACGTGATTTTTAACGACTAACAATCGAGTTTCAATGGTGAAAAAATAAAATCAAAATGGAGTTGTTTTTCAGTGATTTCGGCAATTGCTTTTTGTTAGCATGCATTTATTATTACAATTTAATGAAAAAGAAAAAAAACTTACATATTTTTTTTTTATGCTCTTTCATATGAGATCATATGTTAGAAGCACTTAGGGATCCCTTTAAAAAGGATAAGTTGAAATTTTAATGTTTCATTGAAGGTTAAGTTGACTTTTAAGATGACTTTAGTTTAAGATAATTAAAGATAATACCTTAGGATAACTAATTAAGACAATAATAATTGATAACTAATATAGACACTCATGTCAAAAAACTACTTACTACTGTTTGCAAGTTGTAATGAACTCCACTAAGAGTCCTCTGGTCCCAGTGTCAATTCAGGAGTCTGTGGCAATCGTCCTGACTGGATACTCTGAGAATAGTCCTTTTAAGATAACACAATGGGATACCTTTAAAAAGATACCCTGGTGTAGACCCAGAGTGGAAATTCTTTTAGGATACCAGTTTCGGATGAAAGCTGGAGGTCTTTATGCGTTCACGCTGCACCATAGGGCACGAATCCATACTGTACTCGAGATGTTCATGACACTTACATCTATAATGAATGTTTATCACCCTAAGAATACAAACCACATGGTGACTACTTATAAAACGAATAATTCCACTCCATTACCAATTCTATCTACAAATCACATTTACGCTGGACTCTAACAACAATTTAGTAGCACAACAACTAATGACTTTCCTTGACTGTTGTTTATTATTCTTATTTACTTTTTACTACACTTAACTCATATCAGTTTTTAATATTTTTCCACTTTGAGGCTCTTTGTTTTCCTCTGGACATCTGTCCTTTTGTACTTTTATCTCACTCTGCTAAACTCTTTTTAACTTATTATTCATCCCTAAGGTGTACACTGCTCGGTGCAGCTTCACTAAAATGCATTGCATTTACAAAATATATATATATATATATATATAAATATATTTATATATATATATATATATATATATATATATATATATATATATATATATATATATATATATATATATATATATATATATGTATATACAACCCTCGGAAGTCGAAAAAATGAGGTGGATAAATTATTGCTGACCTTAATCTTTTTAAAGTCGGCATCAGGTCAGCAAAAGTTATTTGATACAAAGATCTGACCATAAAACATAAAAATGTGATCAACAATTTTTTGTTGACCTCAAAAAATCTCAGGTCAGCAGTTAGGTCGGCATTGCCAAATGCCGACTCTAATTCCGAGGGTTATATATATATATATATATATATATATATATATATATATATATATATATATATATATATATATATATATATATATATATATATATATATATATATATATATATATATATGTATATATATATATTAGGATAGTTCTAAAAACAACTTTTTTTATAAATGACTGCTGGCACCCTCTGAATATGTTGTATATAATAAAAAATTCTGGATTTAAAAAATTTTTGAATAAAAATTGTTTTATGGGGTTGCTGCCGACCTTCAAACATTAAATAGGTCCCTAATATTATAAAAAAAAAAAGTTTTTCAAAAGTATGTCATATTGGGTCTCAAACGAAGCGAAATTATATAAAAATTTCAAAAATATTAATCATTTTATAATTAATTTTTTATTTTAGATTTTAGTGAACAGAAAATTACATTACACTAAAAACGATTAATAGAGAAATTAACAAGATTTTTTTATTATAATTTTTTTTTTATCAATGTTTTTTTATAAAATGATTAATATTTTTGAAATTTTTATATAATTTTTAATATAATTTTTTATAATATATATATATACATATATATATATATATATATATATATATATATATATATATATATATATATATATATATATATATATATATATATATATATATATATATATATATATATATATATATATATACTATATATATATATATATATATATATATATATATATATATATATATATATATATATATATATATATATATATATATATCTATATCTATTTTTGCATCTGTTGTTTTACTTTTTTTTAGGCAATGTACCTGTTTAATTCATAATCCTGCTCTTATTTTGCCTCTGGAGTGTATATTAAAAGATTTCTACCAATTATTTGTTACTTTTATTAACAATTATAGTCAAAACTGTGGTGTTGAAAATCAGAGTTCAGTTGAGCAAATTATTCAAGCAATTAGTAAAAGTTTTCAAATAAATTTCCCGTTATATCCAGCCTATGAAAGTGTAAAAAACAATTTTGAGGTAAATGTATTTAATGGTTAAATGCTCTATAGATAATTAACATAGTATATAAATTAGTAAAATCCTATGTTCTAAGAGTTTTTGTTCTTAGGTGTAAAAGAATAAGTTCTAGAAATTCTAGTTCCAAGGTGTAAGAGACTAAGTTCTAAGGTGTAAGAGTTCTATTTTAAAAGTTCTAAAGTCTATGATATTAAGTTCACAATTTTTTTTAAAATTTTTAGGAGTTTATTAAAACATATTGGTATTAATACATATAGAATACTATATTATTGTGTGTGTCTATATATATATATATATATATATATATATATATATATATATATATATATATATATATATATATATATATATATATATATATATGTATATATATATATATATATATATATATATATATATATATATATATATATATATATATATTATATATATATATATATATATATATATATATATATATATATATATATATATCACGGCTGTTTCAAACCGAGCTTAACGGCTTCTTGTTAATTTTTGAAAATATTGACTAAAGGGGTGTTACTAAAACTTTTATAACTTTTGAAATATAAGAGGTAATTTTGTTTTGTAAAAACAATTAAGACATCAATAAAATGTTTTACCTTATGACATTTAATCCATTAGTAGAAAAACTTCTTTTAGTTTAGAATAAATATGACATATATTGAATTTGGCTAAATTTTTGTAATTTGATGTTACTTTTTATCAAAAAAAAATTAGAAAAATATATTCCTAATAGTTATTATCAAATACACTTATTGTTTGACAATAATGAAAACAAAAAAACTTTACTTAATTATTTAAGGTTAACTAAAACAGCCTTAATCGAATTGTGAAAGCAAACCACATTTTTCGCAAAATTATGAAAAACGTCGTTATAAGGGGGGATTAGTTGTTAAATGAGTACTTTTTTTAATATAGAAGTTCTTGATTTAGAAAATTATTTTGGAACGCTGATAAAATCATTACATTACAAAATAAAGTTCTAATAATATGGTGTTAGGTAGTTAATAAATAAAAACTCATCAATTCTAATAAAATAATTCATGACCAAAATTGAGTTAAAGGTTTTGAATTAACCTAGCTTTTGGTAGTAGAATTATTTTATGGTACTTGTATCAATAATCTCTTCTCACAAAAAATAAAGTGTTTAAATATACACAAATAGCTGATTTAAATCTTTTGATAATTCGTTTTTATTTTCATTAAAAACTGTTTTATAATTAGTTGGTCCATTGATAAGTTCTTCAAGCAGTAAACTATCTTTGAACACCCAGTTGATACTAGACTCATACATAATTCATTTAAAACCAGAAGAACATTTGGTCAACTTGGCAATTGTGATAATAAAGTTTACAACTTCTTAATTTATCAAGCTAAATTTTTACACCAACTTGATAAATGAGACTTATATTCCATTCTTTAACCAGAGAGGAGGTATGTAGAGCAGAGGTCCTGCGAAGGTAGAACTAACTTTTGATGATAAAAATTGAACGGAGATCTAATATATATAAAAAATGTTACATATTACGTAACAAAGGATAAAACGTTTTTTGAATTAACTACATAAACATACAAAATCATATCCAACAAACATACCAGTTGCTCTGATCACAAATTAAAATAGTTAGCTATACATTTGATGCTAGACTTTTATTCCATTCTTTAACCTGAGCAAAGGCATTGCATAGATATAATAAACTTTTGAAAATAGGAACAGAATGGGCATCTACCTAATATATAAAATCATTGTAATAAAAAATTATTATTATTTTGAACAAACATTACAGGCATTAAAACAGAATAGAATTCTTTTATTTGTAAATTAAGGATCTTATATAATTTATCTTAGATGTAAAAAGTTTAATTTTTTTTTTAACTTTTCAAACATTTAAACTAAATTTGATGACCACAAACAAGACAAAGACCTTGTCTATAAAATGAATTTTCGCCACGCTCTGAACACACAACACACTTTCTCACCTTAGAGGCTTGAAGCTTCCTATCAGCTTTGCTGTGCAATTCAAAGCGTTTTAAAACTAGATGCAGCTTTTGCTCCTGATTTCTAACTGAATGCAACTGCCTTAATTCCTTATTTACGCTATTATGCAAACACTCTCCCTCCTCTTCACTCAGCAACCCAATAGTTTTATGCAGTTTTACAAATAGTGGCACATTGAAAATGAGTTCATGCATTTTTCGCGTGATACTTTCTTTTGGAAAGCAAGCATGAAACTCAATAGCAAATAAATTTATATATTGATGAAGCTCAGAAATTTCGGCATCAGAAAGAAATTTTTGCTTAAAAAGAATAGGTTGCAAGTTATTAAAAACACTAAACACACGTACAAATCTATTTTTAATTGCTTCATCATTAATAACACTACAAAGTTTATAGTGGTTTCTTAATACTATTTTACAATGATTACCTACAAATACATTACCATGGTAAGCTTGTCGCTCAACTTTCATATCTTCAAGGGCCTTATAAAGAGACCTCTCATGAGTCCCCATGCTACTCATAGATATTTTTTCTAGGTCTTCACACTCTATCTGCAATCGAATATACTCAACGTCTAAAACTTCGCGCTGTGCGCGTATAAAAGAAATTTTTTCAGAAATATAAAGGTCAAGACATTCTAAATCTTCACCCTGACATGCTAAACACTCATACTTCTCTATATCACACAATACATTCTTTTCCGAACCACCAATAATTTCACAAAATTGATGGAACAATTTTTGGCACGTACCACACTGCACCCAATCAATGTTACAATCATATTTAGTAATTAAACACCTGATACTAGCACACTTTTCTTGCTGTTTACAGGTTTTTTTTTTATTGGAGGAGTTTAGAAATATGCATTCCAATTCAGAAATATTTTTATCAAAAGCTAACCAACGAGTCTGTAGATTTGCAACGTCTACAAATTGATTTCCTAATAAACGTAAAGAGTCTGCTGTTTTAGAACATTCAAAGCTTTTAGCAGCCCACAATTCATTCGTTCTCACATTCTCATTATGCGACAAAGACGAAACAGCTTGACAATCCAAAGTCTTACACTCCTTCAACAATAACTTATAAAGTTTTAACACAACTCCTAACATAATATGCAAAACAGGTGGCACTACATTATCTAAAGTTATTATGGGGAAAATCACAGGAGCAATAATTGAATTATGAAACTTACCTAGAGCTCTTAGGTTTCCACCTTGTCTATCTTCACACAAGTTCTCATTGTAAGCACTTTCCAGAGATTGTATTGTCCTCCTTAAGATGTTACAATTAGCAGGTGTGTGAGGCATAGAAGCATGGTTTCTTAGAGAATTCAACTTAACTAGGTCTGTAGAACTAGGAAAGCTAGCAGCTGATCCCTGGTGTCCCAGAACATCATCGATAAAATGAAAATCTCCACCTAAGAACAACCTGACTATTTTGTCTTTTAGCTTAAAATCTGACGACTGAATTCTTTTAATGTCGTTGGCATAATGCCCGAGAACTAAGGCAATATTCTCACGACAGTCTGAATCCTGATACATACAAAATAAATGAACATCATATACAGACCCTGATGATTTAGAATTGACAACTTCAAAATGGAATTTCATATACTTCCTACCCTTATCCCCAGCAAAAAGGAGCCATACCTCTTCGCAAAAACCGACATCAGAATTGAAGTGGTCACGAACGTGCAGACTATTGAAAACCTCTTCAATATAAGTTATCAAATTCTTGACCATCAATACAGGTACTAAACAAGGTGCTTCATTCGCAGATGGATAAAGCAACATGGACTTTACAGTAACATGTTCTTTACTAACATGCATAATAAAAGAAATTAAATAAAATAATATTTACAAATAAATACACTAAAAATAAAAGAATTAAGCAACTTATCTGAGATTAGTCGAATATCCACGAGGAAATAATCCACGAAACTTTGCTTTATAGTCTTTATTGATATAGTAATAAAATTATAATACAAACAACTTAAATAGAATAATATTGACAAATAGATGCACTAGATAAAATCGGATTAATCAACTTATCTGAAATTAGTCAAATATCCAAGAGAAATTAATCCGCGAAACTTTGTTATTTATTCTATAAAATGTGTCTCGTTTGTTTTGTTTGTTTTCTTAAAATGCATCCGATAATCGTTGGGGGCGTAACGATCAGAGTTTGCGTCACCGCTTTAAAATGTAAACAAGAATTTATGCAAAAAAAACTAAAAAAATGTCGCTAAACATGCCAAGTTTGAAAACATATTTGATAACATAGCTAGAGGTACAGAAAATAATTTTTTGATTTTCTTATTCATATAAGGTTGAAGTATTACTAAATCCACAGACTTTTCAAAAATGTTATGTTTTTTATTCAAAACGAATAAAAACAAAAATATAAATGCATTAAAAACTAACTTTCTATATAAAAACTTGCAAAGTCTGTGGAAATCTAGATAGAACAGACATTCATTAATAACTGTTCTAAATTTCAACCATCGACCATGTAGCTATGTTATCAAATCTTAGTTGGCCTAAGACAGGTTTTGAGTAAAAATCGCAAAAATCAGAAAAGTGATGCCAAATTATTAACAATATTTTTACAGCTTTCATTTTTATTCCGTTTAATGTAAATGTTTATTTAACAAGGAAAGATAGATCTTTTATATTTTTTTTATTTGAAGATGAAAGCATTTATAGAAAAAAAATACTATTATTTTAAAGTTAATGAATTTTTATACTTTTTATGCGGAAATACTTTTTTTTTTGATAAACTCGTGACGTCAGGCTCGCTTTTATATTGAGTGAAACAGCCGTGATATATATATATATATATATATATATATATATATATATATATATATATATATATATATATATATATATATATGTCACATATAAATATTTATTTGTGGAACTTTTGTATATGTATAATATTGTTTAGTATTGTAAAGTTTTGTTTTGTGATGTTATATAATCATAAAAACATGTGTAACATGTAGTTTTTGAATTGTTATAGAAACTCTATCGAGCCTATAATACATATTTTTGCCCCCTTTTTAGGATTACCCAAATGCAGGCTCTGAAGCACTTATATTTGGGGCCCTGCTAATGAAAATAGCAACTTTAGATGTAAGATTATTAGGAAGGTCATTAATAGAAATGAGGAACAACACAGGACCATGGATGGAAGCTCATGGAATCCCAAAAGTAATTAGAAATAGAGGAGAGCAGTCCAACTTTAATACTGTGTTCAGAACAATATAATTTAATAATCTTATAAACATTTCCAGATAAACTATTTAAAGCCAGCTTATAGAGAAGGCCAACATTCCAGACTTAAATCGTTGTCTCACTGCTTCCATCTAATGCACAATGGAATCTTTCTGTTAACCATTACGTTAGCAAGTCAGCAATAGAAAAGAAGATTGAAATCCATATTGTAAGTTGTTAAATTTGAAATGAAAAATGATTGTTAATTCCAAGACTTTGCTAATAGTAGTAATTTTTTTCATTTCAAAGTTTGTTATAATAGAGTTTTTTAAAAATTAGAACCAGAGGTATCATTTTCCAGCAGGAAATTAAGATTCAATTTAGCATGTGTTGAGTATTTTTAGAAAAACGTTCTAAAGAACACTTTTAAGAGTTCTGGAGAATGCTTTTGTAAGACTGACAGGAATGTAATCTGGACCACAAGATGTAGATGGTTTCAATTAGGAAATAATTTTTGCAACCAAAGCAAGAATAATTTGGATGTCTAACAACAGATTAACCTGTTTCTTTGGAAAGGCAAAAAGGGTGAGGCCATTTGATTCAAGACATATATTATAGGAAATGTTCTTTGCTGGACCTCAGCATCGGTCTTTTTCTATTGATTTCTGGCAATAATAAAAAGGTGTTTGCTCTCTAGCAAGTTTTTCTTGTGGAACAACTCTCTAGAGAACAAACATGTGAATATCAAAGTTTATTAAGCAAGCAACAGAGTTTTTGAGATTCAGCCTTTCTTAGAGCTACCATAGAACTCAGGAAATCTTACTATCAGCCAACTGATAGTAATTTTAATTTTAAAATTAAAATTACTATCAGGGCCATTAAGCTGAGTTTGAGAGCTGTGCTGTCATTAAGAGATAACAGGAAGAATCGCATAGCTACTACTAGGGAGACACCAGCAACAACCTGTGAGTCAAGAAGATCTAGTGTTCATAATCCCGGGCAGAAAACAGGTTTACGTCTATGCCAATCTATTATATTGAGAAATGGTGCAAGGCTGGTCAACAAAAAATTTTCTGTTCAACCCTAAAATCTTTGCTTAGGAGGCCTTCTGCAAGACAATAACTGGATGAACATCTACCCAAAAATGAATATTTTTAGCCTTTACTCAACTAAGAACCCTAAGACATGGGGTAGTTTAACTTCTCCTAGTTTTGACTAGAAAAGCGAATCTTACATATCTGTAGGACATAAGGCAGATTGTATTAGGTTACATGTTATCAGTAGCAGTCTGAATATGATAATCCTAATCCAAGGCCTGATCTTAAGCCTGCAACTCATTTTCTAAACTAAATAATCCATATGATAAAATAAATAAATCGATAACTCAATCATTAAAAAAATATTTATATAAAACAAAAAAATATAAAAAAGTTTTATAAATACAATTTTTTAGGTTAAGATTTTTGATGATGAATTAACTGTTTTTAAATATTACACTTATTAGTTGATAGTGTGTCTTGTAATTCCGTTATTGGTGAGGCAGTAGGTTTTTTTAAAAGATTCTTAAATGTACGTGTTCTTTATTCATGGGTTAAAAAAAGTATTTACTATACATAATATTGAAAATGAATATTCAAAAAAAAAAAAAAAAAAAACTGTATGAAAAACCAAAACAAGCAAGTGGTACTACATTATATATATTATACAATTTCATATTACATAATGCTTACCAATATGTAAAATCAAATTGTAGAGCTTTTTTAAAGATTGTTTTTTAACAAACTGTAAGAAATATATTAAAAGTCTTAATAAAACTGCGAGAAATATACTATAAAGTCTTACTGTGTAAGTTAAGAAAACATGAAGATAGTAGTATTTATGTTTTCCAGAGTATTATGAAGTATTGATTATTGAAGATAAAAAGTTTTTAGAGTATGAACAATAAGTTAATAAGAAAATGTAGCTTTACTGAATGAGTTGCACAAAGTTGTGTTTTAGTTGTTGAAAGATGAAAACTTACTGAGATATAAAAAAGAGAGTATATAGATTATGTGCACTAGATGTAACTTATCTGTTAATAGCTTCTGGTAGTACCAGATTGAACTTTTTTTCTGCACAATAGCCTTGTTTTTGTGTGTATGTATTGACATTGGATTATCAAGACTAATTTTTTTGAACAGTTTAGTGCATGTTGCGTGAAATATGAATGCAATTATATTTGTGCATAACCTTATTTTTGTATTCAGTAAGCAATATTGCCATAACCTTTTAACACTTCATTTACTTTGTAAGCATATTCTGTTTTGTACTTTGTACAGAACTGAATATCAGGCTTGGTCGGGAAGCGGGAGTGATCGCTCTTGATTGCTGACCACGTAAATAATATTTAGTTGTGAAAAGCTGGCCAGACTTTTTAGTCGTTTTAAGAACATTTTAAAACCAAAGAAAAAAAGCGCAAAGATTAATTGGACCGATGAGAAACAATTACAAAAAAAAAATAATTAGGCAAATAGAATATCTTTAAATGTGAAAAAACTTAAAGCTAAATAAATTACGTTTAGAACAAATATTTTCGAAACATTGCTCTTTTATAATTTTTTTCATAAAATTTAGCGATGTTTTTTATATAAAGTAACATCTTACGATTGTTTAAAAAGGAAACAAATATTTTTTATTTAACAAAGTTTGCAGTTTTAGTTTTATTTAAGCTAAATTATTTTATAAATAAAAAAATTTAGTTTTTTTAATACCTGTTTTATGTTTTGCGTAGTTTAAAAAGTTTAACATATTTGAAGCAGTTCTTCTTAGTAAGATAAACAAATAAAATAATTAAATCATTGAATTACTTAGAAATTAAATTAACAAGATAGAAATCAACTAAAAAGGTTAAAAATACTTTACGACAAGAAGAGAAACTGCTTCACAATATCGCTGATGATGTTTAGTGAGTGGGCTTTTTAATTTTAATTAGTATTTAAAGCAGAAAAAAGTATAACAAATTTTAAGAATGGCAACTTAAGCGAAAATAATTAGAGTTAGTAAACCAATATCTAGAAACTTTTCTTAATATCTAATTATTTGCTATATATATTTGTGTTCTGTCGTGACCTCAGGCGCAGTGCTTGTTTATCCGTGACTTACTTTGTATGCGTTGTTTGTGTTTAGTAACCAGAAACTTCTTATATGTTTGTTACATAATAAGTTTTATTAACTTTAATGATTATAACTTCATTAAAAACGCAATTATTTTTGTAAGTCTTTGTTTAAATCATAAAAATTGCTTTAAAAGATTCATTATGATAAAAAACAGATACACAAAGTTACATTTACATAAAGAATACATACTTTTTAAATAAAAAATAAGAATATACTAATAAAATCTATAATTTATAATAAACTTTTAAAATTTTGACAATTCAATTAATATATATTTAAAACATTTATTTTTTGTAAACAAATAATATATATTCTTAAAACAATTTATGCTAGAAATCTAAAAAATGTAACAAATCGTGAATAATACAATTTCTAAAACATTTCAACAGAATACTCTAGAACTTTATTTTGCTTAGTCAGCATATTTTTTGAACCAATAGAATTAGTTTGTTCGTTAATTTGGCAGGTTTTTAGTGTTCGCGAATATTCTTTTTATTCTTTCGTACCAAGATGTTTTAAGAACATTAAAGTTTTTTTATGTTTCGATGTATGTCCGTTAAGCAAAAAATTTTTGTTTCGTACATAAACCTAAATGTTCTCAAAATGACTAAAAAACCTGGCCAGTGTTTTGCAACTAAATATAATTTCCGTGATCAGAATTTGAGAGAGATTGCTTTCGCTTCCCGACCAAGCCTGGAATATATTTACAAGTACTTTATGTATGTAAACTTTTTTATTTATACTATTGGTATTATAAGTACTAAAAAAATATGTTTAATGATGGATCTTTTGGAAACTTAGATTCAAGGATTTATCAAAAACAGGATTTCTAATCCTGTTTTTGACAATGACAACAGGATCTCTAATCATTTTTTTGACAATTTCTTGAATCCAAATATCCAACATTCCTAAAACATTTAATCCCTGATATAATTTCCGACTTACCTAAAACATAAAATCTTTCATTACTTTTTTTTCAAATTTAACAAAAATTATCAAATTTGTTATTGATTATTTAGGTAAAGGTAGAAGAAAAAGAAGCCATTCAAGTATATTGTGACAGTGAAGTAAGTTTTTCTTCCAAGAATTTTTTTTTTTATAATAAAAATAAAAACATGTTTTATTTATATAAAGATCTTGGATGTTATATAAATGTATTTAGAGAGAACTTGTTGTATTAATAAACTAAATTTATTGTATTTTGAATTTTATTTTGTAGGAAAATTCAAATATATCGGAGCTTTTATATCAAAATGTTGCATATTTTTGTCATTTGGGTGGTGTTGAAGCTGTGACTCAGTTATTTGCTTCAGAAAAATCATTGCCATTGTGTTTAGCCAGCAGTTTAATATGCATTATTGCTCAGGTATTTCTTACTGAGACTTATTATTGAGGCAGCAACAATTAATTTTTTCACTGAGACTTATTATTGAGGCTGCAGCAACTCATTTTTTTACTGAGACTTTATATTGAGGCTGCAGCAACTCATTTTTTTACTGAGACTTATTATTGAGGCAGCAACAAATCATTTTTTTACTGTGACATATTATTGAGGTTGCTGCAAATCATTTTATTAAGTCTGCAGCAAATTATTTAAAAAATAAAATTTCTAAGTATACTAGGGTTTTGAAAAACATAAAAAATTATCACATTTAATTAACTAAATTTTTATTAAAAGAATGAAAATGGTCAGCTCAAAAGTAATTGAACAAATTAGACATCCTTTGAAAACAATATTGCCTTGATAAGTTTTTAACTTATAAAGAAATAAACTTGAGAAAATGAGAAAATAGTATGAAGAAACAATTTGTCATATTACTTTTAGATGCTACATAACTTGTTATGTAGTAACACTTAAGTTATATGTACAATAACGGTGTTACTGTACATATAACTTAAGTGTTACTGTACTTGTATGGCTTGAGTGTTACTGTACATATAACTTGAGTATTACTGTACATATATAACTTGAGTGTTACTGTATATATATAACTTGAGTGTTACTGCACATATATAACTTGAATGTTACATTATATACAATTAAAATGTTACATAATGTTGAAACTTAATTATTAAAACATTTAAGTTTTACAGTTAGTAAGATATTAAACTTAAATGCTTTATTACTTTTCTGCAACATTGTATAAATAAAGAGATTATCTTTTTTAATTTTTGAATATTTTAAATATTTTTAGTTAAGAGGATATCTTCACGAAGAAGCTACTTCAAAACTTATAAAGCCATTATCTATTTTAGTAACAAAGTATGGAATTTAAAATAATTTTATCTTTATTTACTCCATGTTTATATTATTTTCAATAATTAATAACAAAAGATTAATAGCAAAAATTGATTGATAATAAAGATTAGAAAATATTTGTGAGTAAAAGAATTACAAAGCATTTGTAAAAGATTATAATGAAACAGGAAAGAGTATTTCTTAAGAATTTTTGAGAAAGACTAATTAAGTACATCTCTATTTATATGGAATCATGTTAAAATAAAAAATGAAAAGTTGTTAAAATGAGGTTTTAAGATAGCTTTCTTTTTAAAGAATTGCCAAGTCCGTTGTCTGAGAAAACCTGTTTAAAGTTAAATTTTTTCCAACTAAAAATGGAATGTAACAATTAGAGTAATGTATTTTAAGTGATTGTTCTAATTGTGGTAATTTGGTAATGTGGTAATCAAAATTTACTTCAAGAATTTTATAACTTATTAGTTAATCTAGAAATATAACTTATGGACTTGAAACTCATAGTTTCACAGTGGCACTGTATAGCTCTCTAATAAACTCCCTTAATCTACTTGATGAAAAAAGTGCTTTGAATGTTTTTTTCACATGTTTTCTACCAAGAAAAAAAATATATAGAAAATCATACTTTTAATTTTTTTTTTTTGTAATCAAAGTTTTTACTTTTATCTCATCTTATAATCAGAGTAATTTTTATTGATACTTGACTACAACATAATTTTCTAACCTTATTTTATTATATTATATTTATTTTATTAAATTATCAAGGAAGTGTAAGTACAAATACAAAAACATATGAAAAAGTATGGAATATGTTTCAGAAAAATCTACAAATAATAAACTTATGCATCAGAAAATGTTAAATTAATAAATACTATCAAAATACTATAATTCAAATCACTAGATTGATTTAATTAATTTGTTCTGCTTATTGATATTTTTATTACAAAGGAAAGTAATAAAAATTTGAAAATAATTTGTTATTTTTTGAAATTAAATAATATTAACATGAATAAAATGAAGAGAAAACTATATGCCTTAAAAAAATATAACATAATATAAATTTAAAACCAAACATAAATTGTATTATTAAAAAAATATTTTCTCTGTTGTGAAGGTATTTACAAAAAATGTGCGAAGATGACCTACGATTACCCAGTGCCAGATCAATGGCAGAAATGATGATAAATTCAGTGAAAGTACAAGATAGTAATCATCCAACAAATGACATGTAAGATTTTTTAATTGCATATTTTATCTGTAACAAAATGTGAAAAAGTTTTTTTATAAATTTTTTCCTCCTACTTATAACAATAAAATGGCTTAAATAATTTCAACAGTAGAGTTTTTTAAGTTTAAAGTTAATTTACTAATATTGCTCAATTTGTATATAATATTACACTCCCATCTGTAAATATTGTTGTTTTTGGTGCCTTAAACAATCAGTTGTTCCCATTAAAAATATTGTTGTTTTTGCTATAACAATCATCATACTGAATAGTAGTAGCAAGTGTTTAAATTTTGACTTTTGTTTTACTTTTAAAATCTAAAATCCCTACAATCCAATTTGTATTGTATCTCCAAAATACTAAAATAAGGTAAACTTGATATACCAGAATAATTATAGAGTAATATGAAAATAATTTAAGTTATATAAAAACATATAAAGTGATATAGCAGGGTTCCCACACCTCCTTAAAACCCTTAAATATCCTTAAAAAATAAAAATCTCCTTAAATGCCCTAACATAATCTTAAAAAAAGTTAAGATTTGTCTGCTCTCCTTCATTTCTCCATATTTTTTTTTTTATTCATCTAGAAAATTTTTTCAATCTTCCAGCATGATGGTGCACCATGTCACCGGGCAAAGGTGATTACTAAATGGCTTGCTGAGAAAAATATTCAGGTACTCTCTCCTTGGTCGGATCCTCGCCTGACTTAAATCCAATAGAGAATTGCTGGCATTTGTTAAAGAAAAAGGTAGCCGCTTTAAAGCCATCATCATATGATGATTTGAAAAAAAAGATAATGTTGGTTTGGTCCAATGAAATCACTCCTGCTTATTGTGAAAATTTGATCAATTCTATGCCCAGGAGAATTACTGCTGTGCTAGCGGCTAAAGGAATGCCCATAAAATACTGACATGACATGGACATTTTGTGTTTTATTTCACAAAGTATGTTGTACTTATTCCTAGTAATATGAATTATATTAGAAATTGACATGGTTGTTCATTGAATAAAATTTTATGGTTAAAATCAGTTTATATATATATATATATATATATATATATATATATATATATATATATATATATATATATATATATATATATATATATACATATATATATATATATATACATATATATATATATATATATATATATATATATATATATATATATATATATATATATATATATATATATATATATATATATATATGGCTTTAAAGCGGCTACCTTTTTCTTTAACAAATGCCAGCAATTCTCTATTGGATTTAAGTCAGGCAAGGATCCGACCAAGGAGAGAGTACCTGAATATTTTTCTCAGCAAGCCATTTAGTAATCACCTTTGCCCGGTGACATGGTGCACCATCATGCTGGAAGATTGTACAACCAGAAAGAGGCAGCCACTGAAGCAAATTGCTTTTCAAAATTTTCAGATATTCATTGGCATTAATGGTTGTTTTAGGAGGCATGAACCAAATACCTGCTTGTCCTCTGGTTGAAATTGAAGCCCAGACCATGATTGATTGGCACTGTTTAACATTGCATTTGGTGTACTTGGGATTCAATCGCTGATTAACAGGTCTATAAACAAAAGAATGAAAAGGAGCAAACTGTTTTATTTGACTTTCATCTGAAAACATTACTTGCGCCCAATCCAACGCTGTCCAGTCTTTGTGCTTTTGACAAAAGGCAATCCGATCTTTGATGTTCTTGGCAGAAAGCCTAGGTTTAATGGAAGGACGCCGGGCATGCAGGTTTAAATCAGAGGATAGTCTTCATCTGATAGTTCTGAAGGAAACAGTAACAGAGGATGGCAAGTTGTGTTGTATTACTGTGGATGATGACATTGGAGAATTAGTACAAGTGCGATGAATCAAGGGGTCAGTCTGCATAGAGGTACATTTTGGTCTACCAGATCTTTTTCGGGAAGTTAAGCTGCCAGTCTGCTGCAATCGAGTTATAGTGTTATGAACTGCAGTTTTAGAAACAGACAAACGTTCAGCAATGCTTCTCTCGGTGCGTCCCTCCTCTTTTAAAATACTGATCTGTACTCGAACTGATATTTGTAACTCACACATTTCAGTGAAAGAAAATTAATGCTAAAATCATACTACATATATGACAATTGTATTACTCATCAGTTTTCCTCACATCATCAGTGATGCTAACAATAAATTGTTGTGTTCTGAATTATGTTGAATTACTAATATGAATTATATTGGAAAAAATTGACATGGTTGTTCATTGAATAAAATTTTATGGTTAAAATCAGTTTTTAGTCTTTTTCAACCCTTGGTCTCAGACTTTTGTCCAGTACTGTATATATATATATATATATATATATATATATATATATATATATATATATATATATATATATATATATATATATATATATATATATATATATATATATATATATATATATATATATATATATTTAAAATTTATTGAAAAAATAAGATTATGTTTTTAATGTAATTGTTTTCTCCTTAATTATCCTTACTTTTTTTTTTTCAAAAAAATGTGGTTCACAACCAAATCTGCTTAAATATTAGGAAAATATCTCCTTAAATCTCCTTAAAATCCTTACTTTTAGCCTTAGTTTTAATAGTGGGAACCCTGTGTAATAATATCAATAATAACATGTTACAATAATAATAATTAATTATAACTAAGTACAATATAATAATAAATAAGAAAATTATTATAACTAGTTTTGTTTAAGAGAAAAAATTTAGGCATATATATATATATATATATATATATATATATATATATATATATATATATATATATATATATATATATATCGTGTAAACTAAAATAGCAAGCTAAAAATCAAAAGTTTATTCAAAAATTAAATTTGCGTGACAGTTATTAAGACTGAAATTTTTTACTTTTGTTCATTCATTATCAAAAGCAGTTCATTCTTGATTGCCAACAAACAAAAGTTAACTTTACTCTGAAAAGATATTTTAAAATCGATCTATCTTTCAAAAAATGAAAACTTTCATAATATTTAGATAAAGAAAAATTAAAAGATATGTTTCAAGCTCTTTTTTTTGGGTGCCCAGCAGTACTAAATCAGGTCTGGGTTCATCCCTTTACATATATATATATATATAAATATATATATATATACATATACATATATGTTTATATATATATATATATATATATATGTATATATATATATATATATATATATATATATATATATATATATATATATATATATATATATATATATATATATATATATATAAACATATATTTATATGTATATATATATATATATATATATATATATATATATATATATATATATATATATATATATATATATATATATATATATATATATATATATATATAGAGTTTTAATAGGACTTTTTGTGACATAATCTACTGTGGAACCCTTGCTTTTGAATCTTATTTCAGATAGTTTTGAGGTAAAATCATGATTTTGTGGTCGTTTTGAGGTAAAATCATGATTTTGTGGTTGTTTTGAACTTTTCTGCAATCTTTTGAGCAGCTTCAAATCCGTTTTTGCTTAAATTGTAAATCAGTGTTTTGATCAACTGCAGAAGATGTTTTTCTTTTATAACCTCTTCCTGCAATATCAGTTTTAGTTCCATTCCATTTTTTATAATGTTGCAGACTGTTTGAAAAGGGATTCCAGTCTGCTTATTAACATTTTAGTAGATCTTTACATTATTTACCTAATCTACAACTAAGTTTAGTTGAGATATTGTCTAATGTTTTTTTATAATGCACATTTTGCTATAAGTTAGTTTTATTCAGTTAATCAATATCTTACTTGTTACATATATATTTTATGTATTACATTCGTAAATATCTGATGTGTTACATATATATTTTTTATGTATTACATATATAAATATCTTATGTGTTACATATCTAAATATAGTTTTAGATGTAAACTTACCAAAATTTAACTTTTTTCCAACAAAACTTCTAAAAAATTCTAAATGAAATATTTGTACCAATAATTATTTATCTTCCAATATCACACCTGTGATATTTAATGTTTTTTAAAACAGTAATACTTTTTGTTGTTCTAGGTAATAAATATTTCCGAATGTAGGTACTATTTTGCAACAAAATCTATATTTTTCGCCTTGGTTTTTTGCATATATTAATAATTTGATTGTTTTAAAAATTCGCTAAAAAAACCAAACAAAACATATACTGAAAAGAGAAACTATTTTATTTAGTGATAAAATAAATAAAGGATAAACCAGAGAAAATAAAAACATAAAGTTAATATGTTTTTGAAATGTCTCAATAAATCAAACTTTATTAATTTAAAAGTGTTTTAATTAATAGTTTAATGCTTAAAATTTTTCATTTATCGCCTTGTTGTAGCGCATAGGTTGATTAATTGTGTCATTTATGAAGCATGACTGTCATATTGGCATTGGTAGATGGTTCTTATTCTACTAACAGATAATTGTTTTTATGTTTTATTTCTTTAGTGGACAGAAAATACCTGTTTCAAAATTTTTAATTGTTATGTTTCGTAGTAATTAAGCTTAGATTAAAAATCTTTGAAACTAAAATCTTGGATTAAAAAACGTTTTCTAAATTCTTCATAGTGAAACACTTTTAAGTTAAAATAAAAACATTAACTTTACCCTTTTATTTTTCTGGTTTATTTTTTTATTAATCTTATCATTCGTTAAGAATTTAATTTAGCTTTTTTATTTTTTGTTTTTGTTCTTATTATTTTTCCAGTTTATAGTTTGTATATTTTTAATTTTAGTCTAAGTTTGCATTTGTTTATTCAGTTTTCACTTTTAAATCTGCTAATTTAAAACATGCTAAGTGCCGAATTAAGATGTCAAAATAAAATATTTGTGGCCATATAAGCCTTGCAACTGTCAGTTCATGTATATATCACACCTTTTCTGAAAAGGCTCGATATAGGTATATATATATATTTGTATATATATGTATATATATATATATATA